GCATAATTTGACTCCGATTTGGAGTACTTTAATGGGCACTCGCCTTCCAATTCCTTCAACGTTTGCGTTTGTGTTCTATCCAAATTCTTTTCCCTTTTTCACTAATTACAAATCTCACTCCCCTCCTCATTTGCTTCCTCATAGGCACCCTTATCACTATTTCGTTTTCTATTCTCAGTCTTCCATTCCTTTAAACCCTCGTTTTATCCATTTTACCCTCTTCCTTTATATACAATCCAAATTCGTTTCCCTTTTTCTCTGATAACAAATCTCTCTTACCACCGCATTGGCCTACACATCTGCTCTTTTGTCACTACTTCGATTTCTATTTTCTTGCGTCATGAAATTTCAGCCCTCTTCGCATCCCCTTCAACATATGCCTTTTTAAACATTCCAAATTCATTTCCATTCTTCACTAATAACACAAACTCTCTCTCCACCTCAGTGGCCAACCCATTTGCATTCTAATCAGTACTTTGCTTTCTATTCTCATTCTTCCAGTCCTTTGAGTCCTCGTTCAATCCCATTCACCATATGCCTTTCTGTACAATCCAAATCCATTCCCCTTCTTCACTAATAACACAATCTCACTCTCCAACTCATTGGCCAACCCATCTGCTCTCTTGTCACTACTTCGCTTTCTTTTTTCTTGCTTCCAGTCTTTTTAGCCTATGTTCAATCCCTATCACCCTTTGCCCTTTTATACAATCCAAATTCATTTCCCTTCTTCACTAATAATGCAATCTCACTCCCCATCTCATTGGCTACCTCATCTGCACTCTTATCACTACTTGCCTTTCTATTCACTTGCGCAGACTCTTTGTACCTCTTTTTCTCTCTTTTCTCCCTTGGCCTTTTTTGTATGATTTTCTAGTTTATATTTTTTTTATTGCCACTATTCACTTTGTCTTTCTGTTTTCTCTCCTGGTGATTTTCTTTAGATGTTTGCCTTTTTATTCTTTTCGCACTCTTGCTTAGTTTTTTTTTCTGGGGTATTAACACTGACCATTCCTGCCCAGTGTTTTTGTTTTACACACAGTTTGTGCAAATTTTGCATTTCGACGCCTTCAGCTGCTTACCTAACCTTTGTTTCAACCGCATATTGGGCGTGTCTTAATTTTTTAGATCAAGGAACTTGCTCTCTTATGAGAAGCCGGCCTTACATATGCACAAATTCGATCAACCGACCTCGTATGAATCAAATGCGTGACTCCGCACCCTTTGAATGCATCCTTAACGCTCCTTACTTCACTATGAATCAGTGGTCTTCGTTGCGCACAAATAGACCTGTCAAATAGCTTGCGATTGCTACGTGATTGATTCTGTCTTGTGAATGAACTGTACATTGCGTGGTGATGTCTCGTATGAGATTTGCTAAGCTGCGATAGTTAGCCTCGGTGGGCTTTTCGGTACCTACGAAACACCGGCTTACGAGAAGAGCTCTTGAAAAGTACGGAATAAACTACTAGGCATTTGAATAGTAGTTTGGCAATGCGTCTGCCTTGACCGCATTTCTTTACATCAATAACTACTTGGTGACTGAACTTCATGGTATGGCATGTCATGAATACAAAGTCATCTCTTGTAGACGAGCCCTTAAATCGCGGTAGCTATTCAGTTCGAAAGTATAGGCAGCAAACAATCACCCTTAACCAGCTGAGAGCTTCTGTGCTTGTGGAGATGAGGGGTGCATGGAGGGAGGCCTCAAGTATGGTCCCTCCCACCAAATTTTTAGATACGAACTTCATAGTGAATCGATTTACCTTCTTCAGACGTAGCAAACAGTCCCATCGCAACCATTCACTTTGTTTTGTCCAAAAGCATTCAGTCCTCTTCATGGGCACTTTGCAAACGCCATGTTACTGACACTAAGACCACACTCCATTACACCATGCGAAAACAACGATCTAGGTCTTTCGGCATGATGCACAATGACTGCCGTCGCAAACTGCAGGGGTGAAATAATGCAACTGAAAAGACTTTAAATTACTCATCCATATGCACTGACGGTCCTATCCGAGAATTGTTAACTTCTTTCATTACCCAATCCGAAGGAGTGTGTCAGCTGCACATTACGGCATTTATCCTTTACCACCTCTGCTCCTGTCGCTCACAAAGTATGCCATCACATTTAACAGTAGTATGAGTTGAGTTACACCGGCTCTTATCGTTGCATAATTAGAAGGAGGGAATGCTTGATTTCAGCTGCATGGAAAGCTTGTAATGACGGTGACAGTGCACGCTCGTGCATTTTTGCAAGAGTCAGGCCAATTCGATGACCTTATGGGCAGTTTTACGTGGATTGGAATTATACTGGAATGGAGTGGAATACCGCCAAACTAGAGCACAACATAAATGTATTTTTAGACTATCCACAACAGAAGTTGAGTCTCCCTTCCGTGGGTAAGAATGCGCTATGCTCAAGAGAAGGTGATGACGTTGAAAAGGCAGTCCCCTCTACAGGCGAGCATAGACGTGAATTTCACATGAACAATCAAATAGTAGTTCTAGGACCAGTCTAAAATGCCGATCCCCTCCCTTTGCCCAAATGAACAATGATTGTCACGCCTCTTCGAATAGTTCGCGCACTCTGTCTGTATTTGCACAACCATCGCTTGAAAACCACAAGCCACATGTACAGCAGTCTCCTCAAAGTACAAGCCATTCCTAATGGGAAAGTAAAAATCAGCTCTGCACCCTCATAGCGCACGTCACAGATGAGTGGTAGCAGAAGACTGCTCACTGATGAGCAAAACTTCAGACATGTTGCGATGGAAAGTAATAAAATACGAGCTGAACGAGCACCAAAGGATCTATGACCGAAATCGGTGATGAAGAAGAGATAGTTTGCAATACGGTCACAATCATAGAGGCAATGCCTCACTGCGCCTGTAGACAAATCATATGAGGCCACACGTAGATGCAGGAGTGGACGGAGTGATCGCACTGGGGTGCACAACATATCGACATAGCTGGTGCTGGTCGTCCAGACAATGGTCTGCAGTTGTTGTCTTGGCTCGTAAACTGCTGCAGGCGTTTTCTTAGAGCGCGTGAGAAGAGTTTCAGGTTGGAGATGGAGCATGATGGTGAAGGACTTCATGAAGGTGATTGCTAAAACCCTCATAGACAATCATGAAGGTCCTACCGTGTGCATATTAGCCAGCCTCGGCTGTCTCGAGTCAAGTCAAGACACTATCGCTTCTCCTCTCACTACGCATATGGTCAACCCAAATTAATGCCTCCTTTTGCCTAGTGGGAATCCTCGGCACGCCATCCTAGTTTCAGCGAAAAGAAAAAAATTCGTCTGTGAGATACTTCAGCGGTGCGAAGGAGGCGCATGAGGGGCATGATATCTGTATTTGGCTCTACCCCATCCTCCTCTCCCACAGGCAAACTATTAACAAGTGAAGCTACACATCGTGGGCTATCTAGAGAAGCCTTGTATCGTAGTTGCCACGCATCCGCTCATAAATGGCTAGGATGATACTGCTCTGAACCTCCCTCTGTAGGGGACCGTATTTGACCCCGGTCGCCCTGTTATACGACTGTCTTAGATCATTGCACCGATGCCCAGTACTGAACATGATTAAAGACCAAAAGAAACTCCTATCTGTTCCTCCTGCTCTCAGATCGAACGTAACTTCGAATGCGATTGAAGCTGCTGAGAAAGCCGATTACAACCCTTCATTCTCTTGATAGCTGAAGACTGGTAAATGCACCTGAATGCATACATCCAGCCTACTTAACGCCTCCTTCTACCTGGTGGGAAGGCTCGGGATGCTACGGCTACATTGTCGTCAACAGTTGAAACCAGCGTCTTTTCGACACTGAATCAATTGAGAGTAATGCCAGCGCAAGTAACAATTCAATTGCAATAGGAGAAACAGACGGAGTAGAGCCTACGCTGGCTTCTTAACATTAGTTCATACTTGAAGTGCGGTGGTGCTGTCTATCGAAGGGGAAAAGTAGCGCTGAGTCTGTTCTAGTACGCACGCATGGACGTTTATGTGACCGCATGAAGTTTGGTGGTGGCAGTAGGGTTTGTGCGGCTCATGTACGTATGGATTGGCCTTCGGGCAATGTGCAAGCCCGTTTGCCCTGTCGTCTTCGGAATACATAAAATCAAACTCCACTTCTTATATTGGCTTGGAAGTCTTAGGACGCCACACTGGTGGCAGCGGTGCGATCCGAACTCACACCCTTTCGGACCCGACATTTTTAACGACTCTAAGTTATAAAGTGCTTTCGAAGAACTTCTGCTCCAGCCGAGATGGAGTGTCTCTCTGCGGCCTGCTCCTCGTTGGTCGTTCGTTAAAAGCAACATAATGTCCGGGTAAATCTCTTGCCCAACAGACATCGCTGTCTTACTGGCATCCTACGTTTGTGTTGCTACACTTTGCCAATTAATTGACTGATTTCTGCAAAAGAACAGTACGAACGAGCCGACGAGCAAAGGCTCGATGGGATGATGAAATAGTTCAGTACCTACAAATCGCACAGGATCTGGGGATGTATGGCGCTTGTTCTTGGTGTTGATGCTCTGGGTTTGATTATCCATGAGCCTGATAATCTGTTGGACCGAAAAATCGGGTTCCCTTGGCCGGAAATTCGAAACCTCTCTTTTTACCACGATAAGTTTATAATCCAACCAGCAGACAAGACTGCAAAGGAATTCGACTTTTTTATGGAGAAGTCCAAGATTAACAGACCTATTTTGGCGTTGTGCATCGGCAATCATGAGTTATACATGCGTAGAAGGAAGTCTCACTCTATCTATCGAAGTGCAGTAGATGAAGATACAGGCGAAAAGACGACGTGAATTGAAGGGGACGCAATTGCCTCAGTGATGGAAAATCTCTGAATCCTCCCCATGTCCCACATACAAGCTATTAATAACTGAAGCGACACCGCTATGAACCATCTGAAGAAATTTCGTGTTGAAATTTCCCATACAGAATCTGTGTTTGGGTGTCGGAAATGACACCACGGTTCTCCCTACATAAGACACAGTGGCTCATCCCGTTTTCTCTGTAACATATACGTTTTTGACTAGAGTTCCACCGTCTACTCCTGGAAGCAATTGATGGACAACAGGTGTATGCGGCCCTGAATCCGGTTGTCAGACCGAACGTAACCCCAGTCTCATGCTATCTGCGGACTAGCATGGCTGACTCGTGCGTGCTTTCATATAGTACCGAATATGTTATGAAGGGAGGGGCAGTGTAATGCTTTGTATATGTGACCACATGAAGTTTGACGGTCACTTGAGGATTTGTCCGGCCCTTGTACGTGCGAGCTGACCTTGGGCCCATGCCCAGGCCCATTTGTCCTGTCGTCTTCAGAATTTCTCCCTCTCAGATACGCTGAGCGACTAATACTCTTCTTACTGTTACTGCTTTTTTTTCCTCCGTCTGGTCTTCTTTAATGCAACGCAGTGAATCGCCAACACTCGATGCACGCGCTGAACACAACAGCCGGCTGTCTTATCGATTTAAAAGATTGATTAACATTAATAAGCAATCGATTAATCGACCTATTAACTGGTGGCCTCAGAATGCTTCCGTCAATACTGTAGCGTTCCGAGGCTTCCCATAGGGTGGAAGAAGGTATAAGTGAGGTTAGATACATGTATTCCGAAGACGACAGGACGAATGGAGCCTGAGCGTGGCCCGAAGGTCAGCTCACGTGTACAGCGGCCAGACAAATTCTAAGGTGACTGTCATACCCCAGGAAGTCACATAAACAAAGCATTTCAAATATTGGCATAGGATTGAGCGTTGCATTGGTGAAGTGCGACGCGAAAACCCAACCTCACCAATTTCATACTATACAGCCATACCTACGTTACACCAAACTTCTAAAACACCGTTTTATCGCCATGAATTACTTCAAAGGCGTGAAAGTTCAGGCATGGTAGTAAATCATTTCTTTCACCAACTACAGATACAAAAGTCACTGCATGTAGCCTGCCGAAACGTCTCACTAAATAGATGGAGGTGTTTTGAGGGGCTGGATTGAAGGGATGGTGGTTCGATTTTATGGTCCGAAGGTCAGTTCACTTTTATAAGAACAATTTTGTAATGCTTTGTTTATGTGACTATCTGACGTTTGGCCATCACTTTAAGGTTTGACTGGCCCTTGTATCCGTGGGATGGCCTGCGAGCCATGTTCAGCCCTAGAAGCTTTGTTCTCTTTGGAACACATGTATCCAGATCAACTTACCAGAGCGATTGCTATTCAAACAGGAATTAAAATAACTAAAACACTACACTAGCACTTTAGCATGTGTCGGCGCCCAATATGTAAAATTGTTGTCTAATCGGGTAATAAATGCAAAATTAAGCAAGTAGAAGATGCGAAATGCACTGCAATACTTCGTTTATGTGACCGCTTGGTAAATGGCGACTACTTTGGTATTCGTTTTGCCCCCGTTTTGTAACAACTTATTTGCATTTTGCATGACCAGCATCAAATCTTACTCAACAAGTAATAATCACTCTATAGTACACATATCTACAAGGTATTTATAAAGTAATTTTTGACTCCTGTAATGCTTTGTTTATGTGACTATCTGGCACTTGGCAGTTACTTTAAGATGCCTGGTCGTCGTAGTTACATGCTGGTCTCCGAGCTAAGCTGAGGTTTAATGCTCCTGTTTTCCTTGGAATATATGTAACCTGTATGAAGTTTCGGGGCGCTACAATACCATGATTTGAACTCATCCGATTAGCATTTACATTGGTTTCTTTCCTGTTTGCATGGGTCGCATTCTCACGTCCTCTTTACTCACTACCAGGTCCCGTGCTTTTCGGTACGCATTAGCATTATTTTTGCGTTTGTGCGAGAAACGGCTCAAGGCTCACAAAATTTAGGCTTATCTTTTACTTTGCTGCTTTATTGTTGAAACAGATACTAATGCTACGTAAATCCTCCGATGAAGAACGTGTTTTCCACTGCTTACCTTCTAGGATCTCCTTGTCTACTCTCAGCCTCGAACCTCTTACTTCACATGAGGCTTGGTTTGGTACAGAGGAGGAAATGGATGGTATCGATGGGACGATAAACGGACGTCATTCAGCCTACGTCTCCTCGCTTTTCTCACATACCGAATCAGTTCAGACCGCCCTCCCTCCATAAAGGCAACTTAATCACAATTTACCTTCAATTTCAATTATTGTCCCTGGTGATAGTCGCTAGCTTCACCAGGCGCCTTCTCCTATTCCGCCAACGCACGGGCTTCGGCCTCGTGACCTACCGGCGACGGGCCTGCATGTGGATGAGGTAGTTCGTGGGTGACAACCTTTGCCACGCGGTAGGGTTCCTTGTGCCAGGAACGGCGGGATTTCCGATGGGTTCCTGGTAGAGGAATCGGTTGGTACAGCCTCACCAAATCTTCCTCATGTTCGACTCGACCTATCGTATGACCTCTTGCTTGATACTTGCTTTCTGAAGTTGTACGCCCGCGGTGTCAATCACTTCCACGAGGCCTTCCTTTAGTCGCAAGGCATATTGGAGCACGTTATCTACTGACGGTCTCTTACGAGGAAGAGATGCCGGAAGGAACTCTCAACTCGCGATCCTTGAGCACCTTTAAAAGTAAGCCCCCAGTCGAGTTGTGGGCGGAGGCTCGGTAGGCAAGGGGGCGCGTCCTAGGTGTAAATCCCAATCCTCAATCTGCAATCCTTTGGTAAAGATCTTCAACATGTCCACAAGTGTATGATTTGTCCTTTCAACTCGCCAATCGCAATGAGCATGACCTACGTCGCACGCGTCTTATGGATTTCCAAGGTTTTGCATAGCTCTTTGAGGAGACGACTTTCGAAGTTCGGACCTTGGTCGCTATGTACAAAATCAGGTACGCTGAGTTGGCAGGTCCAGTGGTTGCAGAATGTAGTTTCCACTATCACAGCGTCTTGCATCTGTAACAGTTCAGCTCCCGCGATCGTAGTGAAATAGACGTTGGAAGCAGGACCATGACATCTATGCCTACTCGCTATCCCGGAAATCCGGTAATCATCGGCTGGGGAGGGAACACCGCGGTGTGGTGTAAGTTCTTAAAGCTGGTAGATAACGCATGTGCGGCAAAAATTGGAGACATCTTATTTCAGCGAGGGTCACCGGTACCTAACTCTTGTGGCGTCAACCATCTTCCTCCCCCCTATATGACCAAGTTGCTAATGCAACTCCAGCAAAGCTGTCTGCGTCAAGGAACTTGGTACTACGAGACGTTTGGGACCTGCCCCATTGTCTTGTTATAACATGACGTCATCTTCTGGAGATTTTTCCCAGCACTACCATATTTGTTTGGTTCTCTTGCTCGCTGGGCTCATCTCAACTGTAAGCTTGGTCGAGGATGCCCTTAGTCGGTGTCGGGGCTCTGTGTGTTCCTCCAGCGATAAGCAGTAGGCTCGCTCACGGGCAGCGCACTTACTGTGTCGCTATCCGTGGACGGGGGTAAGGGTCTCCGTGATAGAGCGCCTGCATTCCCATGAGACCTTCCTTTCTTATATTGCACGATAAAATCATGTTGCTGGAGTTCTTCGTGCCACCTTACAACAGAGCGATCGGCCTCCATTGCCTTCAATCATGTTAGTGCTCGATGGTCTGTTCTCTCACCTAACTGCTTTCCTAGTAAGTAGTGTTTAAAATGTCTAACCATTTTATGGATGGCGAACAGTTCTCGTTCTGTTGCACTCTTCTGTCTCATCTCTTTGTTTGGATGTGAGCTGGCGTACGCGATCATGTGTTTGACTATGTTCGTTCGTTCCAGTTTCATTACTTCCCGGGAGAACATTCGCCAGTAATCCTTCAGGATCGTGTGTAGTTCCTACTTCTCACTTTCGGTAACCAGTTTTAATTGAGAGCAAAGATCCCTTAGATTGGTTCAGTGGACGGCAAGGAGAGTGAAATGGGACCTGCATATATTGTCTGCATCTTTCTTTGGTTGATTGGTCGAACGCTTCTTCTTGGGCCTTCGATGGGCTGCGGAAATGCATGTATTGAGGGCCATAGTCACTCGGGATTGGCGTAACAAGTGGGCTGGTAGAGGCCACTCCTACTACTGATGTTTCTTTTCCTTTTGCAGAGCGTAGCTCAGTAGCCGGCGGAACGATGCGAACCATGTTACAAACCATCGGAAAAGTTCTTAAGTCCAGTAACGAAAGGGTTGCTCACGAGCCAAGATGAAAAGTGTATGTGGACTTTATTTTGCACCGTACTAGTATAAAAACAAGGGGTTGAGAAGGAAGCAAGCAAGGCAGTGGAAACTGTGGATCACTTTTTTTGGGGGCATGCTAGGAGGTTCATGCCTTTGCTTATCGGGGATCGGCCGTCTGTTGGGAGCCCACGGATGAAAACGCGTGGTGAATTCCGTTGAGAATTGCAGCTTCCGGAGCTTAGGGAGGGTCAATCTGCGGCAGTTGTTCTGTCCAGTTTAGTGAGTATTCGCGCCTTTTGAACTTGACTGCCATCCATGAAGCAATCGAGAGAGGACACCAATCTGGAGGCCTGTTTGGCTAGTAGCTGGAGCCTCTGCGGAATCTTCATCAATCCCTCCAGGTTTCTGGAAACGCTGGAAAAGTCTGAAGCCAAAAACTGGTCCTCGTGTAGGGATGTCAGTTGGGTGAGGACCTAGGAGCATTCTTCTATATCTAAGGTGAAAGTGATGCTCGTGTCCATAGCCTCGCGACGTAGGTCATAAGGTAAGGCGCGAATTTGCAGGAGCACTCTCCAGTCAGAACCATAGAGCTGGAGATCTGCATGTGTGAAGAGTCAGTCATCGGAGTCCATGTCTTCTTTGGGAGGAAGAGATCGCCATTG